TAAAAAAAATATGCGCGTCCCGGCGCGGAGGTTATCATTTGGTTAAATGTCAGACTATATTTACCCGATGAATGTTGATCTTAAGTGTTGTTATTTTCATTGTTTTTTAACCCATATTTTAAATCTATTTACAGCTAGTTTTGCTGTTTAATACTCACATTTCATACCAACTCCTGGATCAACTGGCATGAGGGGACATAGAAAAAGAAATTTACCATGGTATTACCAGGGTTTTCAGTACCATGGTTAACATGGTTCTAATGGTGGATGGTAATTTGGACAAAGATCCATGGTAACCATGGTACCGCGCGGCTATCATAGTTATTTGTCCAAATTATCCACCATAAGATCAGAGGACACAATTGAGCGTGAATTTGTTCTGAGCCATGCATGCTGCTAATAAGCTAACAGATTTTGTAAGGAATACAAGGTCAGTAATGGTGAACTGATTATTACTTGTGTGTGAACTTGTAAGAGTTGTAATTCAAGGACTCTGCATGGTCTTTGACACATTTATGTAAATGAAGACAAAAAAGTAATTTGAGGACTCTGGTCTTGGACACCTTTATGTTAATGAAAAAAATGTATAAATGTCTTGTCCTTGAAATTGGTAAACTAGGGGTAAATTTGCGAAAGTGTCCTTACAGTCTTATAAATAGGGGTATTTCAAAGTACGATATTGTCCTTGTTTTGACGTAAAAGGGGGGTTAAATTTCGCAAATTGTCATTGAAATTGACCGCAAAAGGGGGTCATTTGCATTTGTGGTACCGGTCACACGCGTCACCCCTTGCGGCGGAGTGACCCCGGCCCACCGGGTCGAAAACCCGCTCCAGCTGACTATCAGTTAAGGATGGCATGTTTTCAGTCTCAGGCTCAGAATTCATGTCCTCAGTGACAGTTATCTTAGATGTATCAGGCGCGGATCCAGGATTTTCCAATAGGGAGGGGGGGGGGGGGGGGGCGGAAATTTGAAAATTGCGCAGACCGTTTTTTCAAGGTCATATTAGAATCACCATACCGGTTCAATTTTTGCCCGAAAAAAGTGAAAGTGTTATTTATCACCAAAATAAACGAGAAAAGATATCAAAAACTCATATTCGGGCAGCTCGCTGCCCCCCCCCCCCATTACGCGCGAAGCGCGGAAGCTTTGACGTTTCATTACATTATTAGAGAAAGAAGACGATTCGTTGTAACATTCTCGACTCTTAATCCTTGTTTGAATGCAGTTTCCCCCCTCTCACGCAAAGCGTGGAAGCTTTGACCTTTCATTAAATTATTAGAGAAAGAAGACGATTCGTTGTACCATTCTCGACTCTTAATCCATGTCTGAATTCAGTTTCCTCCCGCCCGCGCGAAGCGCGGAAGCTTTGCCCTTTCATTCATTATTAGAGAAAGAAGATTTGTTGTACCATTCTCGACTCTTAATCCTTGTCTGAATTCAGTTCCCCTCTCCTGCGCTTTGCGCGGAAGCTTAACGTTTCATTAAATTATAAGAGAAAGACGATGATTAGTTGTACCGTCATCGACTCTTTATCCTTGTCTGAATTGAGTCCCCCCCCCCTCTCGCGCGAAGCGCGGAAGCTTTGATGTTTCATTAAATTATAAGGGAAAGGAGACGATTCTATGTACCATTCTCGACTCTTAATCCCTGTCTGAATTTAGTTTTCCCCTACCCGCGCGTTGCACGTAAGCTTTGACGGTTCATTAAATTATTAGAGGAAGAAGACGAATCGTTTTACCATTCTCGTCTCTTAATCCTTGTTTGAATTCAGTTTTTCCCCTCCTGCGCGAAGCGCGGAAAAGAAAGAAGATGATTCGTTTTACCATTCTCGACTCCCAATCCTTGTCTGAATTCAGTTGCCCCCCTCCCGAGCGATGCGCGGAAGCTTTGACATTTCATTAAATTATTAGAGAAAGAAGACGATTCGTTGTACCGTTCTCGCCTTGTCAGAATTTTCAAAATTGTTTCTTTGTCTGCTCCTTTTGCGTCCTATGTCCTCTGCCCCTACTGCCCCTACCGCCCCTGGCTACGCGCCTGCTTTAAAGGGAAAATGAAACAATCATGATTGTGATAGCACACAATTAGGTTAGTAGAAATGAAAGGGGAAAAAGATCTATTACACCAACCATGGATAAATCACGGCCGGGAGCGTCTTAGTTTTGTGTTATCGGGCGAGGGCCGGGGCGTAGCGACCAAGCGAGATTTTGCAATGTTGAATGCTGAAATTATGCATTCTAGAAAATCCCTAAGCCCAATATGTACGTTCTTTCCGCTATATTTCTTTCTAGCTATATTTCTAAATTTCCTGGGGGACGTGTCCGCATATCGGGCCCAGGATTGCCGCCCCTGTCCATGATTACTACCAACATGAGTTCAAATACAAGCACAAGCGAGTTGGTATGAGCTGAATCCAAATGAAGGGCAAAATAAAAGTTGTGAAGCGGCCCTACCGCCCCTACCGTTAATTTAAAATTTGACTTTTGAGTATATAACTTCTATTTAAAAAAACATCCAAAATATTGTGCCCTTTTCAAATTTTTCACTAAAGAGTGATGACCGCAGGGGCTGTTCTTAACGTTTAACTTTGAATCCGCGGCTCGAGATTTTATGCGGCCGGCCCGGCCCCCCTCTATTCAATAAAGTTTGCCAAGCCTTCGGGAATGACCCCAAATCTCCCTATTACAGTTTTCCCTTATTCGTCGTTACTGTCACTTAGCGCCATTTCCTTGTCTTTCCCCTTTCTCACCCGACTTTTCTTTTCCCACACCCCCACACCAGGCGCGTACGCAGGGGGGGGGGGGGGGGGTGTGGGAAAAGAACCCCCCCCTTTGGTATTTTTATGTGTGTAAACCCCCCTAAAAAAAAACCTAAACCCCCCCCCCCCCCCTTTGATTTTTTTTTTTTTTTTTTAAATTATAAAAAAAAAAATAATAATAATACCCCCATGGCTGTCCTAAGAAAGGTGACCTAACCCCCCCCCCCCCCCAACGGAGCAAAATGTCAAATTTTCAAATTTTCGAGACCAAAAAAAAAAAGTGTCCTCTTACCCCCCGATTTTAACCCCCCCCCCCCCACCCCCCCTTGAAAAAATCCTGCGTACGCCACTGCCCCACACCCACTCAGTGTTATCTAGGGTACGCACAAGTATGTTCCCTCTCTTTGAAAGCACCCCTCTATCTCCGGTGTGTAAAGTCAGTACGGTCCGGATTTTTGTGTATTACGGGCCGGACTTTGTTGCGTGAAAAGTAACTCTTTATCGGAAATTTTGGGAACACAAATTCGGTCCCTCCGAAGTGGGAGGGAGGGGGGGGGGGGCTTTCTTCTTCATCTTTTCTCTTCTCTTTTCTTTTCTCTTCTTTTTTTTTCTTTCTCTTCTCTTCTCTTTTCTTTTCTCTTCTCCTTTTTTTCTCCTCTTCTCCTTTCTTTTTTTCTCTTCTTTTCGTCCTCTTTTTTTTCTTCCTTTTTTTTTTGCGGGGGGGGGGGGGGGGGAGCCGCGGCCGTTTCGCCCCCCCCCCTGGATCCGCCACTGGATGTATAGATGGTTTTTCCTCAACATTTGCACTGCCACTGATCTTCGGGTTTGTGGAGTACATTTCTGACAATGTTTCTGACATCATCTTTTTCTTGGCTTCACTTGTGCGTGCGTAGTTTCAGCTATGTCTCGGGATGGATATCCTGCCTCGTCCAGATATTTTGCAGCCTGCTTCTTGGCAGATTTCCTTCAACATTTGAATAGCCCAATGTATTCGTTCCAAGCGGTGCATTTGCACATCACGAAGCATCAGTTACTTTTGCTTTTGATTTCGGCCTCTGCTAGCTGCCACATCCATTTACAGGCATTATTCAGTTCGAACAGCTACATTTTGAGGCTGGTTACAGGGCAAAGTGGATTTCCCGGCAAGGAATTAACACATCTGTCCTGTCTGGCTCTCATCATCATCATCATCTGCATGTTTTTTGGTAAATATCACAGAGTGTAAAGTACTCACTGTCATTTCTGTCTGCTTCATGGAGGACAAAATCTCCTGGCGTCATGCTCCTTATAATTAAATTCCCCATACCTCTGTTTATAGCAAAATACAGCATGGTGTCAGGAAAACCTTCATGGAGACCAGGGGGTGTTTCACAAAGATCCTAAGTTGAACATATCTCTAAGGTGGACTTAAAATTTATGGGAAGCCATTAGCATCCTTGAAAATATTTTGTAATTTTTTTTTTTAGAAGGCATAAAATGTTGATTCAAATCATTCATATTTTCTATTATCATGGGAGATTTCATGTTCTTGATGTGGATCGAATTGATGAAAAGTCTAAAATACTCCAATTTTTGCTTTTGAATATATTTCATTTTAAGGCTCCAATATGGCTGTCCATATTTTTAAGTCCAACTTAGTGTTAAGTTCTACTTAGGATCTTTGTGAAACACTCCCCTGAGAATGAATTATCTAGACTTCATCGTCATGTTATCCTTCGGAATGGCAGGGTGCGGGTGTTTCACAGCAGCTCTTCCTGTTGCTTTGAGATTTTTTTTCACAACAGCTTTGAACGTTTTCCCACTTGTCGAAAACGAATCCTCTTTGGTAATGTCCACATTTCTTGTCGCCAGGAAATGTGCCTTTGGAGGCTAAATTAATCGCAAAGCCTGCATCGTTTTCTTGCTGTAGTATTCACCGTTTTGATTCCGAGCTCCAGCGTAAAACTTCGAGAGAAGGAGGCCTACTAGCTATAGGGCTTCGTTATCCACATCAAGATCATCAACATCAGATTTTATTTCCTTTAAAAAAAATCCCGAAACACAGAAATTCCGTACCTGATCTATCTCTTCTTGTTTTATTCTTCTTTTATTTTCCCCTCCCTTTCCAGGTAACCCCCTTTCCAACCACCTGCCGATAATTTCATAAGATCACTTGTATAAATAATGCAGGTGCTGCTAATTGATCTGCGCATGCGCACTTCCTTAGCAACCTGCCCAAACGGTGGTTGTTATTATGAATAGCGTTTTTTCACACGTGAAAATCGGCGATCAACGCCTTTTGACTAAAACCACTGACTACACCTTCGGAAAGTCACATTTTGGATTAATTTCTGGGATCGTTATCAAGATATCTTAGTAGCATATACTTTGAAGAGAATTAGAAGCCCTTTTTCGGTAAGTAGACTGAAATTATGAGCGTGAAAATGGACTATAATGCGATGTTTAAGTTCGAACTTTGCGCTGATGTCGGTGATGATGCTCGTACACTGCACTGAGCTGAGTCGATAGGGTTTCCCTATTGCGGTTAGTGTGTGACTGACATCGAGTGAGATTCATGCGGAGATGGAGGTCATGCATTCGAATTGCTACCGGAGAGTTCCCGGGGAAATTGAGTGTATTGATCGGTACAAAGCAGCTGATCTCAGCAGGTCCCTATTGGCCCCCTTTCCCAAGCTGAGGTCATTGTAAATTTGAATGCAGATTCAAAATGAAGATGGTGTTTTTGTTGTTGTTGTTGGTGCATGTTGGAAGAGTTTTTAATTGAATTCCTGGCTGCATGGTCTAGACTAGTATATGCCGCTCATCCTTTTTGGCGCTTGTTCAGAAACCTATCCAAAATTTGACCTGCAACTCAGGTGTGGAGAACACTACTAGATTTCTAAAACATACCCCAAATGAAGTAAATATTCATCATAGGTCTATGTTTAAATAAAGATCATGAGTTAAAATTTGTTATGTTTATTAGCTGTTTCGTGTCAATTTTCTTGTTATTTTTTGAGTATTTTTCGGAAAAACATTGATATTAGTATAGATCTCTACACCAAGTCAAACGTCCATGGCGTGTATATTGTATGGGGAAGGTTGACAAATGTCATGTGGGTCTGGACACATGATGGCGTTTTTCTATCCACATCACATTTTCAGTTGGCAGCCTTAGGGGGGGGGGGGGGTGTGAACCCCTATAACCCCTTCACCCCTCTCGTAGATAAGCCACTGCCTCTACGTGTACATTTTAAATCTTAACAACAATGTAAAGGAATATGTCACTAGAAAAGGAAGCCCAGAATCTACCTCGTCCATTTCCGAAATTGACGCCTGGGGAATCAAAAGGAATCAATTATAAGCCAGTCTGCACTAATTGGCCTGGAGGGATTAGACCTCCCACAGAGTCCCAGAAAAAGAGGATCATGGGGGACCAACGGGCACCGCTTAGGCATTGTTTTCTATAGAGAGGGAGCAAGTAGCTATAAGTAGTGCAGTGGGGCTTTAAGATTGAAGAAGAGAACTTCTGAGATGAGAAATGTATGCACAATGTAAAGGACGAAAGACAGATTCTAGGTTACATGTACATTACATGTACATGTACGTGTGCAAATATACAGATACACAGATCTTCAAAACATGAAGAGGTCCCGCTTTGTACATTTTTGAAATAAACACTCCTACAGCGATGGAGGTGCTATATAAATAGCCTTTGTTCCCCCTTTTCAAAGAATACTTCATCCTGTGTATCATGGAGTGCACTGCTTGTCCATGAATGAATAATGATTTCATAACTTTCATGAGCACATATCCAGTATTTTGTCTCTGTGTATTTCACAATTTGTTCTGCAATGATCTTTATCTGCTCATGCTCATACTGCAACCGTGAACTGGCTTATTACATGTACATGTATCTCAAGGAAAGGTTGACAGTGACATGTTTATAGTGCGTCTTCCCCCTAGCTCACTGTCGTCAAATCATCTTAGGGTTTCAGGATGATTGCAGCGGCCTGTAATTCTTGAGTACACTGTAGGCCTGTCTTCATCAACTCGAGATTGCCAAATATCCCGCTATTTCACCTATCCCGATCGCAAATTATCCAGCTAATTTGCCTCGTCATCAGCCCACAGTACAAATTAGTGGGATATTTGGTCAGGATAATTTCACAAAAAATCTTGGTCTAGTTTGCAAAATATCCAGCTTGTTCCCAAATAGCTGGATAGTTTGCGCCCGTCTTCATCAGACCGAAGTTCGGAGTCAAATATCCCGATCCCATCATGCACTACGATTTCCTGTTTACGTTGTACAGCGCAGGTAAAATCTTGAATCCGCACGCTGGTCGTACAGTCATGCAGTCTCTGAAGTAAGCATGCGTCAATCTCGAGATTATTTTTCGAGCTAGTTTGTGATGAGCGTATCGGTCTGGAAAAGACGCGACTTTTAGCATCAGGATAATATCCAGAGTCTGAAAATAGCGGGATATTTGGCAATCTCGAGCTGATGAAGACGAGCCTTGTGTGTACATGTACATGTAGAAAGGGGTGTCTCGTATCTTTCAACTTGTTTTCTCCCCAGGCGTAAATTTGGGAAATTGATGAGGTAGATTGTGCCTGGCATCCAATTTCACTCTCCTTAGTTACAGATAAAGAAATAAAAAAAGGAAAGAGAAGGTACTTGCTCATTCTCTTAAGACAGTGAAACCTGTCAAAAAGGGAGACAAGAAAAATGGTCTTTATAGGCAGGCTGTCTTTATGTACAGGCTCCTTTAGTAGTACAATGTTTGTGTTTCTATTTCTCTTTCTTTTGCTCTTTTAAAAGTCATCTTTCTTCTCCTTCCATTTCTTCTTCTCTTTCTTTTTATATTTGTCTTTCTCTTTGTCTTTGTCTTTCTCTTTCTCTTTTTCTTTCTCTTTCTCTCTCTCTTTCTTTTTATACATGTATTTGTCTTTGTCTTTCTTTTTATATTTGTCTTTCTCTTTCTCTTTCTCTTTCTCTTCCTTTTTATATTTGTCTTTCTCTTTGTCTTTGTCTTTCTCATTCTCTTTGTCTTTCTCTTTCTCTCTCTCCTCTTTTTTCTCTTTCTCTTTCCCTTTCTCTTTCTATTTCTCTCTCTATTTCTATTTCTCTTTCTCTTTCTCTTTCCCTTTTTCTCTTTCTCTTTCTTTTTATCTTTCTCTTTCTCTTTTCCTTTCTCTTTCTCTTTCTTTCTCTTTTTCTTTCTTTCTATATGTACATGCACATGTACAGACCTGCTTCATTTTTAACCGTAAATGGATAAAAAAAAAAAAACCCAAATGATAGGCTCTGTATAATTACAAAACAATTTCATGGGTACCGGTATTTGTTTTTAATAAAATTAATACAATTAAACATGCTTTTTGTTTGTATAACATTGCATGCATACAAGCTGCACAATGTGTACATTGGTATCAGTATTCATAGCAATAATCAATGAGTCTTATTTTTCTATTGATGGAAATTATTCTAGGGTAGATATAGCCTGTAGGCCTACATTTCTCACTGTAACGGCAGTAGACTCTCTTACATTGTAAAGTTGCACACATCCATGCACATGTATAATACACGATCAGCCAATAGTAAAACACTTGGACCGTCCCTCGAACCAGTAAACAGATACCGCATTTGCCGGCGATAAGGCCCCTGCGCCGCATAGGCTGCACCCCCAACTTTGACATTTTGTAGAGGAAAAAAAAAAAAAAACGGACTAAACAAAATAATCGTGATTTTCTCCAAGCTATTGTCCCTCTGGGGGTCAAATTTCATCTTTATATACATGTATATTTAACAAACTATACCTCATTTTAAAGCTGAAACTATGAAGTTTATGAATCTGATAAAAAATTAAAAAATTAATCAAAATACGAAGAGTGCCAAGGTCACGAACTTCGATTTTTATTAATTAGCGTGACGTACGGGACAATACATATTTATTTTTGTATCTCGTTTGAATTATTTGTTTAAAATTAAATATCTCAGGAATTGTAGACCATCATGCTAGAAAATAGGAAAAAAAATATAAAAACTTTCAAAAGTAATTAATTATGCAAATGAGGTAGGTTCCAAAGTGTGATGTCCCGTACGTCACAATTTGATCATAATTTGTTTAATTTTAATTATGAAAATATTTTTTTTTTTTAAAGATATTCTAGGAAGTTCTAATTTAGATGAATACCTAACAAAAAATAGGTTTAACCAAAATTACAAAAATTCTGTGTTGATTGTAATCAAATTAAGAAATGTGACGTACAGTACGGGACAAGTGTGTGACGTACGGGACAACCCCATATACATGTAAAACCAATGCAAGATGTGAAAAAGGAAATGACCAAAAGGAGAATACTGTACATACTGTGTTAGGAAACTTGTTGTATACAGCGATATATGAACATTCCAACCGGGTCCCTTCTAGGAATTTACTTGTTTGTACTGTGTGTGTGTGTGTAATTGGGTTTTTACAGACGTGTATCAATCAGATATGATTATTTACGTCTGGGGACCGACCTTTAACGTCACCATCCGAAAGACGTGACTCAGTTTCGAACCTGCGTCCTCGGCTGAATCAGTTTGTAACTTCCACATTTTAGCTGGATTACAGGCGCACGCCACAACGCCTAGTACTGAATTTGATGTAATTAGTCTTCAAGCCAGACCCCTGGTATTATCAACTTCAATTTGCCAGTTGATGTCCCCAACATTGGCAGGATGCTAAATATGTAAATCATAATAGTGTACTAGTTCCTGGAATGAGTCTAATGAAATTGGTAGTAGATGGCAGTTGTAAAAGCCAGCTTCCGGTGCATCTACTAGATGCACCGGAAGCTGGCTTTTACAACTCATAGATGCTTTAGGTAAGAATCTTAGCACATGGTATCAAGCTCGATCTCCATTTTATGAGAGTTTTTTTTAAAATTCTATTTAAATGTCATATACAATTTTATACATATATGATGGTAAAGGATTACAGCATACACTGTACACGTAATGGAGCCAGCTTGGGAACTTTGATCTCCTAAAAACTAAATCATAACTTTTAAGGAAGGATAGCCTTTTTGAGTATTTCACACTCTCACCCACTTAAGATTTTTATCACTTTTACACCCATGCATTTTTGTTGATTTTGCTTTAATCTATAGAATTGTGGAAAAGGTCACACAAACCTTTAGGGTTTTAATTTCTTACATGTATCTGGTGGTGTTAATAAGATGTCTTTAATCAATACAAAATACATTCAAGATTTATATTTTTGTATCCATCTTTCACAAACATGTAGGCTACATTAATGTACATCAAAATTCTTGAATATATGACAGCAACATATACATGTTCTAATCTGTGATAAAAGGATTTAAAAAAGACAATATGTTCAGCATTATCTTTGAATTCCTTCAAA